AAGTATGCACGCAAACGACATACAAATACACTGCAACACGCGTGCACACACGTACACACACACACACGTACACACACACACACACACACACACACACACACATACGCACATACGCACACACACACACACACACACACACACACACACACACACACACACACACACACTCGCGCGCGCACCATATTCTCCTCCCTCACACTCGCACACCACACACACGAATACTATGTGTGCTTGTCTCCGTGTGTAAGCGTGTGTGTAGGTGTGTGTGTGTTTGTGTGTGTGTGTGTGTGTCTGTGTGTAAGTGTGTGGGTAGGTGTGTGTGTGTGTGTGTGTGTGTGTGTGTGTGTGTGTGTGTGTGTGTGTGTGTGTGTGTGTGTGTGTGTAAAAGAGATAAAAGGAGGGGAGAGAAAGAGATGAGACAGACAGACAGACAGACAGACAGACAGACAGACAGACAGACAGACAGACAGACAGACAGACAGACAGACAGACAGACAGACAGACGGACAGAACGATGTGCTTTTGCTTGATTTACATTTCGTTTTTAATCAAGCGGTTGACTTTATTTTTTCATAGTACCATGTATTGTAGCCTACCATCCTCTTATTGACTCGTGTTCCTACGGAGTCATACGTCTATTATTGCATTCATTATTTCCAGTGAAGACCTATGCAAGAAAAAGCCAGATGGAACTTGGTCTAAAAAGTCACGTGGTACGTACCTAAACAAAAATAAAATGTAAATAAGTAATTAAAGGTTTTACACCTCCTCATTAACGAATTGGGTTGCATCGATCCTTCCTGTTATGGCCAACTGATGCTGAGGGTCCCATCAGACCAGACAGAAGGAGATTCTCAATAAAAAAAAACTTTCTCATAGGAATCGAACATATATATTTTGCCCCGACGACTGGTTTGTCAGAGTTTTAGGGCCCTCGCAACTGCATAAGGTCATACGAGCGGCTTACAGATACCTTTCTTATTAAACACTTCATGAATATTATTATAACGTACAATGTAGAAATTCTGTGGGACTATATTTTTATGTGGGTTGCAGTGACATTATGCGCTAATGTTTTTAACTTCTTTTTTAAAAATAGTGGGTCGAAATTTACCTATACCTCTCTGTGTCTTTCTGTTCGCTTACCAGGAATTGCTTACGTCAGAGGTGCCTGTATCTCCTCGCAACGTTTCATCAATCAGACATATGATGTGGGCGTGGCGGAAGTCGGCCGCAGCTTCCGAGGTGTTCTCACCGCCACGCACGAAGTAGGACATTTGTGAGTTTTTCCCAACAGCTTGGGGTCCTTTTTAAAACGGTAGAAATACACTTAGACCCTTGGGCACACCGAGAGTCTTTGCTCTCCTTTTTTTACTTCGAAACAATAAGTTCCAAGCAATCAACACCACCCCCCCAACACCCTCTCTCTCTCTCTCTCTCTCTCTCTCTCTCTCTCTCTCTCTCTCTCTCGTCATCCTTCGAGGGTATGCATTTTATAGAGCAGGCTGCTCCTCTACACATTATGGCTTACAGTCTCTCTTTGTCTCTCTCCTTCTCTCTCTCTCTCTCTCTCTCTCTCTCTCTCTCTCTCTCTCTCTCTCTCTCTCTCTCTCTCTCTCTCTCGTCATCCTTCGAGGGTATGCATTTTATAGAGCAAGCTGCAAAGACACATAATGGCTTACAGTCCCTCTTTGTCTCTCTCCTTCTCTCTCTCTCTCTCTCGCTTACTCTCTCTCTCTCTCTCTCTCTCTCTGTGAGTGAGTGAGTGTGTGTGTGTGTGTGTGTGTGTGTGTGTGTGTGTGTGTGTGTGTGTGTGTGTGTGTCTGTCTCTCTCTGCCATCTTATTTTAATTTTATACATGTATCTATATGTATACACTCAAAGGCACAACAGACCGCCCATCAAGCGCAGGTGTGAGTGTGGGTGTATGTGTGGGGCGGGGATAGGAAAAAAGACACACGCGAGCGACACAGGGGTGCGGTTGTTTACGAGGGGGGGGGCTGAGGAGTGTGGGAGTAGAAGTCGCGTAACCGTCTCCGAACACATGTGTCCTTTTAAGTATTCTTCTCGGTATGTGAAAAAAAGAGACGCCAGAAGGAAGTTGAGTTGCAGTGGTACAGACAGCTATACAGATGAAAGCGAGACAACAAAGAAGAGAGGAAGAGAAGACCGCTCCTCCCATTATCTTGTTTATTTAAGAATTAGATGAGGAGAAAAAAATAAAAAAGATAGAGAGGAGAGGAGAGTAGCGCGGATGTGGCGAGGCTGAAGAAGAAAATGAGAATAGAGAATAATAAAACGACAGAACAGGTAGGTGAAGGTAAAAGAAATAGACAAGTGGTATAAGTGACTCAGGGAACAGATTGGAGGAAAAGGGACAGCCACGCGAGGGGCCCGCACAGAGCCGCCC